TTTTTTTTTTTTTTTTTTTTTGTTGATCTCCGGGAGTACCTCCAGTCTCTGTCGTTCCGGTAAGTGCTTTCGATCGATTTGTTCTTGTTCTTGTTTGTATGTGTTTAGTTCTCGTTTGGCGGCTGAGAAATTTGTCTCTCTGTTTTGTTTGAGTTATTAGGAAATCGGTTTCTGTGATCTTGTTTTGATTTTAGGTTCTTTTTATTTTTGTTTTCTTTTTGCGTTTTGCTTTTTTGGTTTGTTTCGATGTGCGCATTTGATTTAGGAGTTCGTTTCTGTTTTGTCTCTGGATGTATTCTCATCGACTTAATCGGGAAAGAAAGCACTTTTGTGGATTTCCATACTGTGACTTGATTGGTGCTTTGATTTTCGTTTTACTTGTATGATCAGGAGCTGAGAAAATGAGTTTTGGAGTCGTAAGACGACGGATTGCGTCTGGTGGCTCTAATCTGGTGAGTTTCAGTGCATTCTATCCATTTTCTCAAGGCGTACGTGATGCGTATAGGATTTGTATCGGTGTGCACAGTTATCTGATTCTGTAGTGCTTTCATTTCAGTTTTCTGTGCAGTATTTGCGGGCAATTCGACCTTCCATTTCTGCTGGAAGAGTTCGCACCGTTGCTGAGAAAGAGGTAGTTACGTTTTCTGATGTCTTTGTCTCCTTGTGCGCTTTGTCTGGAGGTGGTTGTTAATGTTGATAGATAGGATATGTTTTGACAAGGCACGAACGGCCTGTTATACGCAACAAGTATTTGCTATGTATCTCTTCAATCTTCCTAAAACAAACCTCTCTGTGAAATGAAATGAAATTTAACGGGGATGTTTTTTGGAATTTTTTCATGCAATGAATTATTCATGTATCTTACATGCCTTATTTTCTTTACACATTTAGATTTTGCACCAATGTAGAAGCTTTGGACATGTCAGAAACTTTTCTCACGTACTTTCACCTGGTAATTTTGATTACAACTTCTCTATGTACTTGCTTAAGCTCCTACCTCATGCAACTGGTTCAAATATATGATTTCGTTTGATTGATTGATGCCCGTGTTGTAGGTGGTCCTGTTAGCAGTCCACAATCTCTAAGGTCAGTTACCATTATCGCTTTATACCTTGAGATATCAGATTGAACTGATCAAATTATCTCATCCAATAGAAGGATATAATTGCAAAATTTCCATTTTCTTAATAACGTCCAAACAACAAAATTTTAGTACATTCATTTCAAATGTATTTTATTCCAAAGTAAATTGAGAATTCAAAATCATTTCTAGTTTTTAATACCATGTCATTTGAAATCCTTCATATTCTTTGTTGATTCCAACTGAATGGTAAATTCATGAACTTATTTTGTTGTTATATCCTAATCCATTTTTTTAAAAAGATGATTGTTACTATTTTGTAATTGTTGGTTGATGCCCCACTAAACTGTTTTTTCTACCATGAATCATTAGGTTTAAATCTTATTTTTGCCTTTGAATGACTACACTTATTATTTTAGTCCTTGTACTTTCACCATTTTATTTCTATCCTTACTTTATATGAAAAACGTTGTTAGTCTTTATTGTTGAATTTTTGTTTTGCATTTGATAGAAATCTTGGGACATCTATCTCCAAACGTAGACCCAACATATGTGGTACTTTACATGAAAAACATTGTTAGTTTATATTGTTTTTGTTTTGCATTTAAAACACAAGTCTATGTAATGTCACATAATCTTTTTTGATAAATACAATATAGAATTTTGCCGACAAATACTAGAATGATTAAAGCATATCGTGGATTTTAGTTGTTTCTCATTCTAGTACATCACCAAGAGAGAAGAAATAGACTCTAGTGTTTTTTGTTTTACAACTGTCGCCTTCTTTTCGCTTGGGTTTTTTTTTTCAGTACTTTTTTGTGTATTCTTTCATTCATTCTCAATGAAAGTTGTTCTTTTCACAATAAAGGAGAAAGAAAAATGGTGATGGAGGTTGTCCTCGTGATGAGTCTCTAGTAGAACAAGTCTTCCTTCCTTGTGACCTGGTAATAATACTAGAGAAATTGGAAATTGAAAGAAAATTAGAGATTTACCCTCATTATTTTTCTCCAAAACCTTCAATTGGAAGAATGGTATCCTATAAATTAAAACCTGCTAGATCGTTAGCGTTTTAAGGTCAATATAAATCTCAAACCACATTCCTTTTTCTTTCTTCTTTCATCTATTGATTAGAAGAATAAATCTAGGTTGGTTAGCTCTTTCTAGCATTATCATGGGTATCAAGCCTTCTCTAAATCAAGATACTGCGTTGTGGAAGCTTAAAATACTTGGGGGAGTTTCCATGTCAATCCCTTGTTGAACATTTCGTGCTCAAGTGTAGCATTTGTAAATAATATTTTGTTTGTTTATGAAGTTTGAGAAGCCAAGGAAAAATCTTTTTTACGTTGGGTTTAATGTCCTTGGTAAGGTGAATACTATGTACAATATTCAAAAGAGGTTTCTAACTTAATGTAGCTTCTAGTTGGCGTCTTCTTTGTTGCAACAACATAGAAGATCAAGCTGATCTTTCTTTTCGTTGGTTGTTTAGCTCTCATTCCCACATGCAATGGTTGGAAAAGTGTGCCTAGCCATGCTTCTCTAAATAGCGAGGGGTGTGCACCTATTTCAAAGAAGTGAGGTGCCCTCGTTAAAACATAATTTGTCGTGTGTTTCAGTCCAAGTGCACACTCTTTAGTGTGTTATGAATCTCTCATTTGTATTTTTTATAATGAAGAATCTTTTAGATATTTTTAGGTTATCTTTTTCTTTGTCCCCAATTTCTCACAAAAATTCCATATGATTAAAATCTTTATTATTTTATTATTCTAAAAAAAAAAATTCCATATGAATAACCATGTCCTCGTGATGGAGGTTTTCATCATTGCAAACCCTTTATTTAATTTGTTTTATGTGCATCCTGAGATTTCAGTTCAACCTGAAACTTGATTTCCACAAATTGTAGAAAAAACATAAAAAAGAATTCCCACTTGAACTTTTGATATTTATTTAGTTTAACATGAGCCATTTGTCATTAGCCTATTTGAGCTCTACTTGTAAAGACAATATATATATATATATATATATATATATATATATATATATATATATATATTTATATTTATATTTATTTATTTATTTATTTATTTATTTATTTATCTTGAGTGAGGAATTTGTCATTTGATTGATAAATAAATCTCTTGGTACTTGTTATAATAACCACTACAATGTTGCTTTTCTAATTGAAAACCTGCCAAGCAAGTAGAGATTTTCTTTTCAATAGGGCTCCTTGTAATCACTATTTTTTAAGAGAAATTTTCATTAATTCTTTTGCTATTGTCCCCTTTGGTTCTTATATTTTAATATGGTGATCAGGGTAGCTTTTGTGAGTATGCTGCAAAGACCTATGATGCAAATGAATGGCCGGAAATTCTCTTCAGATAATGGTGCAATATCACTGTCTTTTCTTAATGATTTTTGTTTGTGTTTTGTCTTGAACATTTCTTGTGCTTTAGTTGCCTTTGTATAAAATTTTGTGGTTAGCTGACGTTGTTTGTCATCCTAGGAACATTAGGACTCTTATAGCTAACACTAATAGGAGAGCCCTTTTGTAATCTCCTTTGGTTTCCTTGTGGCTTTTCACATCATCAATAAAAAGTTTAGTTCACATAAGAAGAGGCCCACTTTAGTCGTCTAAGTGCCACATTTATTATTATTATTATTATATATATTTTTTTTGTAATTAACCTATTGTCATGTTTGGCAATAAAGGGGATCTGCTTGACGTTGTTGTCCCTCCATTGGCTGAGTCTATTACTGATGGAACGCTGGCAAAATTCCTGAAGAGTATGTTCTTTGGTTATTAAGTATATTGCTTATTGCTACATAATACACTGGTTTGTTGGTGATTTATTAAGAAGCCATTCTTATATGTTGAGTACAGATCCGGGTGATAGAGTGGAATTGGATGAAGCAATTGCTCAAATTGAAACAGATAAGGTGTTTTTTAGATTTATAGTGGAAAATTGATTTTCTTTCCCTTCTTCTCCCTCTGAGTATGATTTGACGTTTCATTTAAATCCTTTGCTGCTAATTTTCTATCAGGTTACAATTGATGTCACTAGTCCAGGAGCTGGTGTTATCCAGAAGGTGAGTATTTCTGGACTTTTACTATTTAATTTCCTTCTTTGCGTCTTGTAACTTGATGGGTAATTAATATAAATGTTCGCAGTTTGTTGCCAAGGAAGGAGATACCGTGGAACCAGGAACCAAGGTTGCTGTTATTTCAAAATCTGGTGAAGGTGTAACTCATGTTGCTCCTTCTGAGAAAGCACCAGAGCAAGCTGCATCTCCGGCTGCTCCAGCTGAAAAAGTAGAAAAGCCTAAAGTTGAAACACCTACTAGCGTGAAGCCTAAGGCACCATCTCCACCACCTCCTAAACGCTCGGCTACTGAACCCCAGCTTCCTCCCAAGGATAGGGAAAGACGAGTAAGGACCATAATTTAAATTCTGCATGGCCTTCACATTCACTTTCTATATATTTTTCATTGTATGTTTATGATCTTATCCCTATGACTTACTCTTGGGATTGTCATGACTTTAGGTTCCAATGACAAGGCTTCGAAAGAGGGTTGCTACGCGATTGAAAGATTCTCAGAACACATTTGCTATGTTGACCACCTTCAATGAAGTTGACATGTAAGCTTACACCAATCGTATTATCGATCTTCGCACATGTTTTTTTGCATTGATTTTCCTCTGCCCATGCAGAAACTACCATTCATCCCCCTATTTACCTTGCTTGGCTTTCCAGTTACTTCCTTAAACGTTGTTAGTTTCAACCTTTTTGGTCCATCACGTCATGCATATCTAGTGATTACTTTGTTTTCTATAAAAAAAAGATTACTTACTTTATCTAATCCACCCCATTTCCAACATGTAAATCCACTTTAGACTGAAGCTATCTTTGGGCATTTTAAGTATATGTTGGGGGTTTGCAGTTCCCTATTGGATGCATTTTTTAGTTAGTTGGGTTTATTTTCACATCTTCATGCACTTATGTTAGCTCTTTGCTGCTTCATGTTTAGCTTATGAACTGCTTTTATGTAGGACAAATTTGATGAAGCTTCGTTCTGATTACAAGGATGCTTTTGTTGAGAAGCACGGAGTCAAGTTGGGTCTTATGTCTGGATTTATTAAAGTATGTACTCTGTTAACTTTGTGGATATGTTAATTCCAGATGTGAACGAGGTTATGATTGTTTTGCCAATTCATTTTCTTCTTTTCATGTTTCAGGCTGCTGTCAGTGGGCTTCAGAATCAACCTATTATTAATGCTGTGATTGATGGGGATGATATAATATACAGAGACTATGTAGACATTAGCATAGCCGTTGGAACTCCTAAGGTCTGTTCAAGTTTTCCATGCCTTGGTAGTTTTCTTTTTGTTGTTAAGGAACCTAATGGTGAACTGCAAACGGATAACAGAAAAGGGACTATGATTCCTCCTAGTTTCTCAATAGATTCCTTACGTTATTTTAGACCTCCCTTGGCGTTGCTCTTAAACCCAAGAGAGGCCTAAAATTTGTGGGGGCACTTGCTCCTGTTAATTGACTCATCTTTTATAAAGGTCCATCACATCTGAAGTTTTGAAGGGGCCATCTTCTAGGATTTCTGGTCTCTGAAGTATGACATCAAAATCCGCATTGAATTTAGCGGTCATGATATCAATATGATTGGCACTGACCAGAATCCATTCAAAGAACTAAAGTTTCTGCTCACAATGTAGATCATGAATCATGAAGAGATATAAAGTTGCTACATTATGTTTCATCATTTTTTCATGCAGGGTCTTGTTGTGCCAGTAATTCGAAATGCTGATAAGATGAATTTTGCCGACATAGAGAAGGAGATAAACACCCTTGCAAAGAAGGCAAATGATGGTACCATATCAATTGACGAGATGGCTGGAGGTTCCTTCACCGTATCCAACGGTGGTGTTTATGGAAGCCTTTTGAGTACCCCCATTATTAATCCTCCTCAGGTTCGTGCTCATAGTCATGAATCCTCCCCCCGCCCTAAAATATCATGCACATTTTTAGTCTCAAATAACCATGTCATGCAGTTACCTTCTCAATGATATCACCTTACTTCCAATGGAACTTTATTCATGGAAACTTATGAAAATATACCCTCGCATCCTTGAAAATTAAATATATTATATATTATCTTATCCATGATTTGCTGGTTCATGCATTCTACAACTGGACTATATTATTAGGTATTGCCTTCCTTTTTTTAGATGTTCGTTTCGTACGTTTCTTGATAAAAATCTGCAAATCTGAAATTTCTTGGCAGTCTGCAATCTTGGGAATGCACTCAATTGTCCCCCGTCCGGTTGTGGTTGGAGGCAACGTTGTGTCAAGGCCAATGATGTACATTGCTCTAACATATGACCATAGACTCATTGATGGAAGAGAGGCGGTGTTCTTTTTGCGCCGCATCAAAGATGTCGTGGAAGACCCACGGAGACTTCTCCTTGACATTTAAAGTCTCTGAAAACCAAAGCTGTTATGAAGATATCATCAGCGTGGAGTGTTTCCATAAGAGGGTAAAACTCCAAAACCTTCACAAACCATTTGAGAAATAAATACTCGTTTTCCTCAGATTTTTTTAAGTTTTGTAGAATTTTCCCATACTTGTTGTGCTCCCAAAAGTAATTGCGGCTTGTCTCATAATTGATACTGAATGAGGATCTTGTTGGAAAGCATGTTTTTTAAGCGATTTTCCATGAATTTGTGCTGTGGGAACTGCCACGCCCATGCTGTTGAATTATTATTATTATTATTTTTTATAATGAAGTCATCTATGGGATTTATTGCCCAACCAGGAAATGTTCCAAGTTCCTTTTTTTTTTTTTTTTTTTTTTTTTTTTTTTTTTTTTTTTTTTTTTTTTTTTTTTTTTTTTTTTTTTTTTT